TCCAAGTACCATTACTGCAGAAAGCAACACAATCATTACAGGAAATAAAAAAGATTGTTATTATAATTTATCAGTTGTATTAAAAACAAAGCAAATGCTACATAAAATCTGTTTTGCTCAAGTTCAACCTTCACTCTTTATTCTGTCTGAAGATATACTGAAATTTATTAATTTTGAATTGAGTTGCATTTTATTTTAATTTATCTTATTTATATTTCAATAGATTTTTGTTGTCTTGGTCTTTTTTCTCTTCCTTTTGTTTTTGTCTCATGTTTTTCTTGTTTTTGTCTCATGTTTTTCTTGTTTTTTTGTCTCATGTTTTTCTTGTTTTTTTGTCTCATGTTTTTCTTGTTTTTTTGTCTCATGTTTTTCTTGTTTTTTTGTCTCATGTTTTTCTTGTTTTTTTGTCTCATGTTTTTCTTGTTTTTGTCTCATGTTTTTCTTGTTTTTGTCTCATGTTTTATTCTTTCAGTAAATTTCTGGTTCATAGTTGATATTTTCTCCATTGTCAATGATCTGTTTCTCCTGTTGAGATCACCCATTTATTTAAAAATACATGATCCTGGATATTTTAACTTATCTGCCAGCAGCTACCATTGAGCCTTTGAGATTCTTAAAGTTGGCACAAACATTTGAGTCAGAACAAAAGTTTGTCACATTTTTAAGTGAATCTCAAAAACAACATTTAGATATTTGTACACAGATTTATTCAATCACCTATGTAGTGGTTTGCTTCACTACCTTTTGCTTTCTGGGTGATGAAAGTAGTTTTTATAGGTTTACAAAGAATTGAAATTCTTCCCATTAAAAGAACTTTTTTAGGGATCAAAATAAGTGATGATCTGAATGTGCAAAGTCATGTCAGTACAGCGGGTGTAGTAAGATATTCCAACCAAGCTGTACCAATTTCTACTGGGTCTGCAAAGAGACTTGAAATCTGGTCTTGTACTGATGGAATATGATACCTTTTTGATTGGCCAGTTCCCAATTGTTGCTTTTAATTGGTCCCATTGAGAAAAGTACTTGTCTGAATTCAACATCTGATTTTGTGGAGGAAATTTTGTTAAAAAAAAAAAATTCAATTCTGCCAGATACACAGCTTCACCTTCTTCAAATGTAGACCAGTTCTTGGAGTGAGTAATAGTGGCTCATTTGTTTTCCTGGACCCTTTTTACTCCACATTATTGCAAACAGTTAATTTTTCATTGCCTGTGATTGTTCTTTTCACAAATAGGTCATTTTTCTTATATCTGAGCTGACAATTGTAGATATATTGTCCATTAAATTTTTTTTTCTAAATTGTTAGGCACCCAAATATTGAAATGATTCATGTCTCCAACAGTTTTCAAGTGCTTTACAATATATGTGGAGTATCTCTGTGGTATCTGATATTGTGTACCCTGGATTATTTTGAATCAGCATTTCGATTTTGTCATGTTAAGGCAGGACTACCAGAACATTGTCAATCTTTCAGATCCAATTTCCACTTCTTAACCACTTATGAAACGTGCTCTTAGCTATAGTACCATCCCCATAAACGGCACATTTTTTTTTTTTTTATTTTCTATTTTTTGGAGGTGGGGGGCTTTGTAAAGTGCTTTCCTTTCCAGAAATAAGAACATCAAATGAGAAAACAGTATTTCCTCTTCCTGTTTTCACTTTTGATGTAAAGATGAATGGAAATGTCTCTTTTCTGAATATGTATATATGCTATTGAAATCACATGTTGAAACATCACCTATTGCAAAAAACTATTAATGCTTGTTTCAACCCATGTATAATTTGGAGCTTAGTTAAGTTTGTGTGCACAAGTTATGTAATCTGTGAATATTTTTGATTTTTAATTTTGTTCTTGCAAAGATTGCTTTTTCTTTGTATAGTTTCTTCTTGATGATGGTTAATATAAATTCCAGAATGGTTATTGATTTTTGTTTGGTTGTTTTTCATTTTTATCAGCGACTAAATAATTGACCAATGAGAAAGTATGTCTATTTTTCAATTAAGTAATTTAGTTATAATTTATTGTAGGTAATTGTTGATGTCAGTCATCCAACCCTTGTAAGCTGATCACTTTGCTATCAGAACAAGGTGTGATAGCCAGGCACTGAATTGACTTGTAATCTCTTTTCTTGCCAAAATCTGACTCTGATTTTTGCCTGAAAGACCATCATTTAAATATGCAAACAGATTTTGAAAGATTGCAAAAGTTAAAACAAATTATAGCCAGTCATTAAATTAATTTTGAAATAAAAGGTCAAGGTTTTCAAACTAACTTTCTATAAATTGTACTTTTTTGGCATGGCTAATATTTTTGAAGTTAAAACTTGAGTTGATTATAATCAACCAAAATTTTATTATGTTTCTCAGGAAAAAAATTGTTTTACTTTTTTGACATTGTTGTGAGATTTATACAATTTGAAAGATGGACAAAATCTGCAAAGAAACATTTTGACTTGAAGCCTTTCTCCTTGTCAGTTAGGTTTGAATAATTCTATTTGAAACCATTCTGGATTCACAATAAAAAAAATGACTTCAGCTCATTAGTTGGGCTTCTTCATTAGAAGTAACACAAATATTGATCAGTTACAGAAACCTATCACACAATCCGATTTTTCTGTCTTCTTTTGTAATATACAAATAAAAGCAATATATGGATATATTGGGTTAAAATTGAAAAGAATTTGAAACAAAATCTATTCCTTTGGCAAATATCACAGGATAATTAGACAAATACCAAAGAATTATTTTTATTTTTAACAATTGAAAAAATATTCCTCTAAGAAGGAGGAATTTCTAATATCCTCCTCACTATTTTAAAATAATTAAAATCATGTGTAATAAATATTGCATTGAACTAGTGAGCTTTTGTTAAACTTAAGCAAATTCTCTCACTCACACACACACACACACACACACACACACACACACGAAAGCAAAGAACTGAAATGTCTTTACACTTATTTGATTCTCTTTCATTTAATAAAAGCAAAGCAGTTCCCCCCACCTCATGGTGTCAATCGTGTTTTTGTATTGACAATATTTCTTTCATTTCTAGTTTGAGGCTTAATGTTCTTGTGTTTAAAACAGTCTTGTCTTAGATCATCACTCATACTAGATAGTGTTTTCTTTGTGTAAGAATGACTACTTTCAGAATAATTGTGGTGTTGGTTAATGGAATACATTTTTGTAATTATCAGCTTTATCTCCAGTATTTAAAGCAAAAAGTATCTTTTTATATTTAAAAACACTTATCGTTTTTATATTCTGCACAAATATTTTTTCAGAACAGTACAATTAAAATGGTAGCAGTGACTTAACTTTTCTAATAACCATTGATGAATTTTTTGTTAGCTTGTATTTCTTAACATGCCAATTGTTTAATTGAAAATATGGGTATTTAAATAGCTGAAAAAAGTGAATTGAAAAATTTTATTTGTTGTGGCTGAAATGGAAATTGATTCATGTTGGAGAATGAGGATTTCCCTCACTTTGATGGGGTTTTGAGATAAAAAATGGACTTTACAACTAGGAAAGGTTGAATTAACAGTGATATTACATTTTCTTTGATCTTATTTCTTAGTATTTGCTTATGATTGATGGCTATAAATATTTATAAAATGATTACAATTTTAGAAACATTTTCATTTCACTTTAATGTTTTGTCTTGGATAAATTTAAATTCATAGCAGTATTCTTGAATTAGACATTTAATTAAAATAATTTTGCTTTGTTTTTATTAATTTTTTTTTCTCCCATTAATTACAAATACTTTATATTAGATATTTTACGAAAATTCATTAAAATGTTTTCTATTTATTAAATTTAATAACACAATTAACCAAATAACATTTCTCTATTCCTTTAACATTGTATAAAATTGAAGATACACAGTATTTTTCTCAAAGAAAAAGGCAAATTATTGAGCTCTAATTTTACTGAGTTATTGCAAAAGAAAAAGAATCCAAATTGACTGTTATCTTGGACACAGTTATTAAATAATTAGTAACCTTCAATTGATTTCTATAATGTTTTTTTTTTGGGGGGGGGGTAAGTTGCCTAAGTTGATTATATAAAATGCATACTTTGTCAGAACACCCAGGAGTGAATAAGGTTTCCTTAACTGTTAAATAAATGAACCTCTAAATTTTTGTGTATGATTTGTGAAGGAAGAAAGTTGTTTGTGACATTCATGCTGGTTCACTCCTGCTACTAACTGCACTCTTGATGATAATGTGTTAGGCAAGATTCCTCAAAAGCTCTGCTATATTTCTTGCTGCAACTTGGTCATCTGCTGCCACACATACACACAGCCTTCTGATATATTACAGCCTTTAAATGTTCCAACTAGTTTAGAGTGATTATGTTGGGCTGATTGGAAAATCTTTGATGGGTAACTCATTAATATGCAAATTAGTTCTTAAATATGCCAGAAGAAGCACATGGCTAAAATAGAGGGAATGGGAGAAGGAGTAGAAGCACATATACAATTGTATGACTTTTATTTCAGTTATCAATTATGCTCCAGTTGAACCCCTCCCCTCCTCCAGATGCACTTCTTATGTTATTTGCTTAAAAAGCTTTGTTTCATTTGTTTATATGCTGCTTCTCTTTGGATTTTTAGGAGACATGTTGGCAAATTCAGTTATGACCAAAGTATTTTTGCTGCCACTGATACATTTCTGTTGATATCATTAACTAGTTTTTGTTTTTGTTTTTTTTGTTTTTTTTTTTATTTTTTTTTTCTTTCTTTCTTTTCTCTCTCCCAATACAGGAACCCAGACTTCTGAAATGCAGCCGACTTGTGTCTAGATGAGTTTTAAGTAGAATCAGAAGCTCTTCTTTTTCTGCTGCTGCTGCTGCTGACTGTGTCCTCTTTAGGCACTGCTAGACTTGCTGCTGCTGTTGTTGTTGGTGCCACTGGCTGGTGTTGCCTCACCATGGATCCAAACCACTGGAGTAATTACAACCAGCCCTACAGCCGAATCAACCACAGTAGTGCCATGCCCACAGCCCACAGTTCCATTAACCGTTATGAACTGCCTCTGTTGGATCAAGGAATTGGAACAGGTAATTCATTTTATACTTCTCACCTCAGCACCATTACTTCCACTAAGGCTGATACTCTTACTGCTATTTCTCAGCTTCTGCTAAGAAGCAGGCCAGCTTTTGCCTAGCCATTCTGTCCAACTTGTCTGTCATTTTGTGTACACACAGTCAAAATCACATAAATATTTCTTTTTCTCTTGTTTGTTTCTTTCTCATCACTACCAGCAATATAGCTACTACTACTACTGCTGCAACTTCTAACACCACTACCATTGCTCCTGCTACAACTATTACTACTACTACTACTACTCCTTATAATTGGACACCATTTCTAACAACCTGTTACCTTGTAACTTCTGAGGGAATTTATTCAAAAGTTCCTTTATGCTATTTGCCAATCTAATTTATGATTAAACAATATTAAAGTTTTTTTTTGTTTTTTTTTTTTTAATTTGGGAAAATGTGGATAAATTAATTTTCCTATCATCAATTAATTTAATATTTGTTTACCTATCCAGCTTATCATTCCTAAAAGAAAACTCGACAGATTAAAAAAAAATAATTGTTTTGCCTGAAGTTAGTAAGAATTAAGAATATAACTGGCTTGATATTTCTAAGTATTGTGCTTAACAGTTCTTTAACTACAACTTAAATTTGTCAGAAATGTGAAGATGTAATTGTAGAAATCTAAATCATTGATTCATCTTTACCTGCTTGTTGTCAGCCAGATTTTGCAATTTCCTGGCACATTTTTCTAATTTATAAACTTTTGATGAAACATTACAAGTATTGTTATTTCTGGAGGGAATAGCTATTTATTACAAAATGGGGTACTGAAAAGTTCTCATCCTGACCCACTTCACAAAATCTGACTCAATAGCCAAATGTCAGATTTTTATTTATTTTTTTGTTTTAAAGGCTTTTTTCGTTAAGCCAAGAATGTTTCAATACTTCCTAGTAGAAACAACTAAATAGAATAATCTATGTGATAATTAAATGAATTTCATTAATTATTGGAGCAGTTATAGTGTTGTATGATTAAAAGTTAGTCTTTATTTACCAATATAGCGTTTGTGATATTTTTTTTTTTTTTTTTTTTTTTTTAAATACACTTAAAAATGTTTTAAAAAGGGAACTATAAGGAAAGATCATACAGGGTGCGATGGATAAATTGTCGTCTAAAATTACACAAAAATTAAAATAGCACTGACATCTCATTTTAGCACATATATTTATCAAAATTACACAAAAATATCTTGAAATAACAAAATAAATTTATTTAAAAAAAAAAAAAAGGTTGTCTTTTTTTTTTTTTTTCTCAACCATGGCCTCCAAATGACTTCAGAATCTCCTGCAACTCTTCTGGACATCTAAGTTGGTGAATGCTGCCATAATCCTTGCCTTAAGTTCATCTTTGGTGTTACAGTGAGTTTTGTTGGTCTCTTGCTCAACTGCACCCCACACATAATAATCAAGGAGGTTACAGTCTGGGGAGTTAGGTGGCCAAATGTCAGTGTTGATGTAGTTGTAGAAATTGTTTGACAGCCATGACTGGGTTCTCCTGCTTGTGTGGAATGGTGCACAGTCCTGTGGCCAGACATAGGATCTTCCAGCAGCCACCCTCTTGATCTAGGACAGCACTACCTCCTCAAGGTACTTGATGTAGGTTTCCATGTTGTGTCTAATGCCCTCACCAACAAATTCAGGAGTTCTTTTCATATCAGAAAGGTCAGAAAGCAATACTTTCATAATCACTGTTAGACTCATCCAATTTTTTTCAAATCTTTTGCACTATCTTCAGATTGACACCCAAACATTCTGAAATGTTCATATTAGAGCTTGTGGCGTGAATGCCAAACAGTACAGCATACCATTTCTAAATTTACGGCAGAGTGAATTGTGTCATGGTGCTCTTTTTCTCACTGATGGTGCCCAACTGACCATACTATACTGTGCAATCAACAAAATCAAAAACAAACAATTCACATGCACCAAATTAAAAATATAAAATGGCGACAATTTACCCATCGCACCATATATATTTACATATCATTTGAGTGAAAGTTTTTTTTTTTTTTTTTGGATAATGTTAGATTCTATTCATAGCATATTATTTTTACTTATTTCTGTAAAGCTAATTGTACTAATAATTGCAATAGTAACTGATTGTGATGCATGATACTAACACTGAGAATGAGCAGAATTTGCTTGGCTTTAAGGTGATCATATCTAAGTGAAGTTTGAGGCTTGTAAAATATTTTCTACTACACGATCAATGGATCTGACTGAGATAACTGCCAGATGACAGAAATCATAACACTTGAAACCAAATCCAAGCAGCAGGGCTATTAGGTTAATATACTTAAATTTCAACTTGAGTTATTACATAGTAATTTAAAAGAAGCAAAGTAAATTCTGATAAGTTCCAATTTCCAAATCAGTCTGGATAAAATTTGCTAATTAATTTTATAGACTCATAGCCACATTTTTGGCACATGGCCGAGTCATTAGAATGTTCGCTTTCCGACCATGAAACCCAGATTTGAATCTCACCAGGGTTGATTGGTCAGGGGAAGTGGCTTACTGATGCTATCAGTCTGGAGAGGTGAACCCAGTGTGTCGTACCTTTTGGAAAGTGCCTGAAAACCATAACATGAGTTGGCCCAAGCCATGTGAGTGAAATTGGGTAGATGGAATTGTTCTGAATCTGTTGATGGTTATGCCAGCACAAGTCATTATCACTCAGGGTTTGAGCATTCTGGCCTTGTTCAAAAACATTGATCACATCAGATTATCCACTCTCTCCCAGAATCTGTTACTAAGGTCTGCACAGCATAATTGCAGCATAAACAACAGAACAGGCATCTGTAATAGGGCTTAGCTAGCCACCCTGACAGATGGATGGGCTCAGAAGCAACTGGCCATTATTATTATAGCCTCATTTTTAATGTTATAAGCAACACTGAATATTATTTTTATTTAGTGGCATTAAATTTAAAAATATGATCACTTGTTAGAATATTGTATTTGTAGAAAGATTTTTAGTATAGTATTTTTATTAATATCAGAAATTGTTTTGCATTATAGATCTTAAGAGAAAGCCAATATATGTAATCAAAGCTATTAGATTTCCTTACAGAAAATGTTAAATATCATTAAAAGAAATAGTTATATTTTCTTATGCATACAAGAAAATTCCTTATGCATCTCTATGCGTACAAGAAAATTCCTTATGCATCTCTGGTTGTGTCCATTCTGTTTTCCTAGCTTTGCACTTGTTGACACCTTTAGCACTTTACTTGGCTGATATTTGAACCCTTCCAGGCTTTGCTTTCATGCTGAGCAATCCAAAATTGCTTTTTACCCAAAATGCTGATATTAACATATACCTTGCACTTATTATTTATATATATATATATATATATATATATACACACACACACACACATTTTTTTTTCTCCCCCCAAAAAAGCCGTTATGTAATTTGAATCTCAATACATAAAACATGTGTTTAATAAATCTTAGGTATGCGTGAAATAAAAATGATCTCATAATTGTATTTGAGCTGTTTGCTGCTGTCACATCAATTAAAATGAATTTTTATAGATGAAATAGAAAGTGAGTCTAGACTGTGTTTCTTTTTACACACCCTTGTACTTAATTTAGCATATGCCAATAAGTTAACAAAACAAAAAAAAACAAAGTAACATTCCATCTTATTTGCTTCTCATATTTGGAATGTTACTTATTGGCAATACTTGAATTCAATATAAAATATTAAAAATATCTTTTCTCTTTTCATTGCCCCCTTCTGTACTCCTTTACAGAGATTAGGTCTTCTCCTTTCCAAACTTGATTCTCACTTAATGAATACTCTATCTAAATATTACTCCAAATTTTTCTCAAGTGTGTATAAATATATCTTCATGATATCTCTCTTGTTTTCCACCTCAAATATTGATAGTTATCTGAATGAAGGAGGATACATCACTAAGAAAAAATTTGGTTTCCAGTTAGTTTTCAATTTGGATAAATTTTGTTTAATTTGTCCAAGCTCTAATCTCAATTCCTGGGTGTAAGAAATAATGCTGATTATTGCTAGCTTAGTTCAGGCACATTTTCTTTTGTTTGGACACTGTGCACAAAACAAAATAAATTGAGTCTTTCATAATTATTCTCCTTTGTTCATAACTTACCATAGTTGTTCTGCTCAACAAGAAGCCTCCACTTGGTCATTGACCATCTTTTCTTTGACGTCTCTTTCTCATTCCATCATACTTTGTAGGATGGTATTGAGGAGGCCTTGCAATCCAGTCACTTTCGTAATTAGATGCCCCAAAATTTAAGAATTAGCAGAAATCAGGAGTGAGAAATAAAATTTCTTACTCAACTTGGCTTTTGATATACATTATAGTACAATTTTGAATGACAAAATAAATGATTTAAAATGAAATTTTTGTTAAGAACTTTTCATATATGTACTTAACAGGTTATTTCTTATAACATGTTGAGTACCAATAATATATTAACTCTATTAAACTGTTAGACATTTATAAGCAGTTAAAATATATGGGAAGCATTTATGAATGTAAAATGTATGCTGACATTCTGAAACTTCAAGATGATTTCTTGTGCTATCAGCTCACAAATACTTACATCAACTCGGAGCTTTTTGTTTTACACAAGTTTAAGAGACTAAAGTTTGACCATTGAACAAAAAGGTTTTTTTTTCTTTAATGGAAAAAAAATTTAAAATAAAACTGAAACATGAATAAAACTATTCAAATTCTTCAACAATAACTTGATATTTTTCTTTGAAAAAGTTCAGATTTTTAAATTTTAACGTTTTTATTTCTAGTAAATAAGTTTATTTAATGTTCGCTTGTTACTTTGTGCAAGTTAGTTGGTCAATTGTTTTTTTTTTATTTTTACAAGGTTTCATATTAAAAAAGCTGACCATTTTAAATTATATTCTTAAATACTTACAATTTTTTTAAAATAAATTTTATTTATTTTTTTAT